CTTAAAGGGACAGTTCACCCAAAAATGAAAATTACCCCATGATTTACTCACCCTCAAGCCATCCTAGGTGCATATGACATTCTTCTTTCAGACAAATACAGTCGGAGTTTTATTAAATAATGTCCAGGCTAATCCATGCTTTATAATGGGAGAGGATGGTAGCCCAAAATTTGAAGTCCAAAAAACTGCACCCATCCATTATAAAAGAAGTCCACATGGCGTCGTATGCTCGTTCACGAGAGAGTGGCGTCCAGTGGATGACGTAAGACGCAGGCGTAGCGTAAACTCCGGTGAGACTATGCTAGTCTCGCGAGAAACAAGTTTTGTTTACAGCAAAGGAAAACCAGTGTCCTCTTGGATTATATTGAAATCCTCCGACATTTTTCTTTACAAATCCTCATTTTGTACTTCTAATTCGTGACCGGTGTTTTGTTTCGCCGTCACTTCCGCGTTTGCCTACGTCTTACGTCATCTGCTGGAAGCCACTCTCTTGAGAATGTGCGTACGTAGTGGAAGCTAGAGAGTAAGGTAATTTACAATAAAGTTGTAAATATGGATATTTTTCTTACACAAACGCATCGCGTTGCTTCAGAAGTTCTTTTATTAACCCCCAGGAGCCGTGTGGACTTCTTTTATAATGGATGGGTGCAATTTTTTGGACTTCAAATTTTGGGCTACCATCCTCTCCCATTATAAAGCATGGATTAGCCTGGACATTATTTAATATAACTGCGATTATATTCGTTTGAAAGAAGAATGTCATATACACCTAGAACGGCTTGAGGGTGAGTAAATCATGGGGTAATTTTCATTTTTGGGTGAACTGTCCCTTTAAGGCCTTGAGCGGCATGATTTGATAAAGGAAGCTTGTTCTGGTCTTGTTCTTGGTGGGAAAGAATCCCAATCCTTGGAGGGCCACTGTCCTGCTGAGTTTAGCGCCAACCCTTTGGATAAAAGCATGTTTACTGATGTACAGTATGGTGACATTTATATTGATTAATTTGGCTATTATCCAAAGTGACTTATATTGAAGGTATACATCTCAACAACCCAGCAAAACTGACAAGAAACTCATGTGTAGCATTGGAAATTCTGATTTGTTCTAGTGAATCAGTTCATTCAGATGATTCATGTAAATGAACTGATTCAAAAAAGTCTATTTGTGACATTTTAAAGCATTGGAAATTCTGAATCATTCCAGTGAATCAATTCATTCAGATGATTTGTCTAAATGAACAGATAAAAAAAGTTTGTTTGCAACATTATAGCATTGGAAATTCATATTCATTCCAGTGAATCAATTCATTCAAATGATTCATGCAAATCAACTGATTCAATTATACTGAAGGTATGCATTTCAACAGTTCATGCATTCCCTGGGAATCAAACCCATGATCTTGACATTGCTAGTGCCATGATTTGATAAGGGAAACTTGTCCTGGTCTTGTTATTTGTGGGAAAAAA